TCTCTGTCCCATATGCTAGGAGTGTGGAACCCTGGTCAAATTTTCTGGGACAAATTTAGGGGACATAGTTGAACAGTGGGATAGAACTTGGGATGGGCAAGTCTAGCTGGGTAAGTTTGTTATCATGCTTTCCTAACTCTCGTTGTTCTTATGAAATTATTCTGATTAATCAGAAGGAGGATGTGGTGCCAGAGGACCTCCTTCTCCAGCTTTCACTGTCCTCAGTATCATTGCTGTTCACTTGTTGACTTACTGACCCGGGGCTTGGCAAGTGAAGAAGGATGATTGTCCCAGATAAAGGAGGGATTGGCTATTAAACACACAGACACAGCACAGATGCGTTCACGGGATTTTCAGACAGATCTCTTGTGTTTGGTCCTTACTCTGAACACCTTACGGCATAACCAAGTAGCCTGTTGCAGAAGGATTTGTTTGATTCATGGCAGCCAGCAGCCATGGCATTAGCAGCTCACCACAGTTCTGTTATTCAGTTTGGTCTTAAAAACTTTAGGAAAGTTAGAGTAAAGAATATTTTGGGGCTCAAGTTTCATGGAGAATCAACAAAGGCTTTTCACATCTGACTTACAATAAAATTATATAGTTAATTTTAGATGAACCTAAACAGACCTAATACTTTCACCAAGCAATGCATGTTAAAAGTAAGAAGTTTCCTGAGATTTTCCTTCAATCTTGTGGGTTAAGACACAAAGTGAGATTTAAACTTTATAAGAATAATGTATTTTATTTTACAAAGGCTGTTTCTACTCAGGGTAAGAAAAGAAGAATGTTGAGTCAATTACAGGCACATTCAGGCATAAGAGGAAGGAAGTAAATGTTTTTGTTTAAACTCCTTCATATTGGTAGTCTTTCCTTATAGAATTTTCTGGATAGCTACTTAAGTTGAAGCCAAATTTAGCCTATATAAGCAGAGCCACAGACAGGGAAATCGACACGTCTGCAGTTACCTATAAATATGTTATATGTGGGTAGCAATATTCAGGGGTTTGAAAATTACTTTAACAACCTCTTTAATTGCCACAGCTGAGCTATCTCTAAATTTTGAAACTCAGTTGTTGGTGGTGGTGTTAGGGGCCATTAAGTCGCCTGTGACTCATAGTGACCCTATGTAAAGCAGCTCTGAAGGCTGCCTTGTCCTGAGCCAGTCTCACTGATCCTGAAACTCAGTGGAAAGTTCTATTTTGTTTTGCTTTCCTATGCTGATGCAAGTCTGTATTCCTGTGCTCTAAGGGAGAGAAACCCTGCCCTTCGTCTTTAGGATAGGAAATGTTCAGCCTTGGGAAATCATCACAGAGGAAGCATTTCAACAAGAAAACATACTATGTATTTATAAGGGTTCCGGCCCAAGGCTGAGTCCTAGGAAGGGGATTAAGACATCAGGTGAAGAAAATTTTGAAGTATTGTTGTGGACAGGCCAGAATTAGTCAGTACTCATAATGATTTCAGTCACAGTATAGGCATGTTAATCTGATGATCTGATGATAGAAACATATATGCAACAGCCTTTTTTCCTGGCTTGGAGTCCTACTGTAAACCTGGAGACATTTGAATGGCCCATCTCTGCCATCGACCTTACTGTACATAAGGGTTTAAAGAAGCTATTTGATTACATGATATGCTTCTTCTGTAGACATTCTCTTTCTCCTGGCTACTATGGTTGTGAATTTTGCCTGTGGCCCACACAATCCTAAAAGGAAAGCATGAAAAGTTAGGGAAATGATAAACTAGCAAGACTTTGTCTTGTTGACCTGTAGGATGCTTGTACAAAGATGAACATATTTGTGAATGGATGGAGGCTCGTTTTTAGTCAAGAAGATGTACTTAGTCTGTTAGGGTCATAGTGGGCATTGTCCGGTGGCAATTGGTTTTACGAGACGCAATGAGTGCAGTCGTCAGAACAGTGCATGGAGACATTACATGGTTCAAAATCAAGAAGGGGGTCCATCAGGGATGTATTTTGTCTCTATACCTTTTCAATCATATGCAGAACAGATCATCCGAGATGCTGGGCTGTAAGAGGAGGAATGTGACATCAGGATTGGTGGAAGGGTCATCAACAACATGCGTTATGCAGATGACACAGCCCTGCTTGCTGAAAGTGAGGAGGACCTGAAGCGCTTGCTGCAGAAGGTCAGGGACCACAGCCTTCAATACAGATTGAAGCTCAACATCAAGAAAACAAAGCTTCTCACCCCTGGGCCAATTGGCAGCATCAGTACGTTTACTTGGTTCCACAGTAAACACAGTAAACACTCTTGGTACCAGCAGCCAGGAAATCAGGAGACAAATTGCACTGGGAAAGTCATCTGTGAGGGACCTCTCAAGAGTACTGAAGAGCAGTGACATCAGGCTGGAGACTAAGGCGTGCCTGATCCAGGCTATAGTCTTCACAATTACATGCTATGCATCAGAGAGTTGGACAGTGACTAGGGATGATAGAAAGAAAATTGATGCCTTTGAGCTGTGGTGCTGGAGAAGAGTGCTGAATATACCATGTACTGCTAGAACAAACAGTTTTGTCTTGGAGAGGGTGAAGCCAGAATGCTCCTTGGAGTCAGGGATTCTGAAGCTTCATCTGACATACTTTGGGCATGTTGCAAGGAGGGAACAGTCCTTGGAGAGGGACATCATGTTTGGTAGAGTAGAAGGGACAGTGCAGGAGAGGAAGACCCTCAATGAGATGGATCAATTCTCTGAGTGGAGTGGTGGGAATGAGTGTGTTTGAGACAGTGAGGTTGGCACAGGATAGAACGGCATTTGGGGCTCTTGTACATAGGGTCACTATGAGTCGCACGTGACTCGACGGCACATAACAACAAGTGGAAGCAATTGTAAGAAAAAGCATGTGAATGAGTGATAGTGTGAAACACTGTACACAAAGTTTATGTGCACATCATCAATATAAAGTAGAAAGTTTTAAAAATTGGAGTTAATAAAAGAAGAAAACGTTGTCTTTGCAAGTGTGCATTTCCAAAGATTCCTAAAGGAATGAGAACTAAACTCAAATATCTTTTCTTTTTCTCCTATGTTGCAGACTCTCCATGTCATTATACTTCTTTGTAATACTCCAGTGCTGCAGTTGGAAACTGATAAATGTCACGGATTCTTCCATTCCCCTCTACATTTTCTTATTTAAGATGTTGATTGGTGTCTGGTGACTGTTTTACTTACTGTTGTTATTGATTCCTTCTTTTCAATGTTATACTGAACAGGAGGTATGAGACGCAAACACAGACACTTACTGCCTTTTTCTGTGGGGTTCAGATTCTCCATAATAATGGAGAACTGACAAATAGTGAATGAAAATACTGTTGCACTTAGCCTGTGCATAGATACAGATGTTTATGTCTCTTGGTAATGGACTGCCCTTGTGAACAAGTAACCATTTAAAGTTTAATTTTAATCTACACATCAGAGATGGAGATATGGAATTATTTAAGGCTTTTCTCTCAACCTCTCTCCCTCTTTGATTTTCAAGATAAAGCAAATTAATTAATGTGCACTTTTCAATTGAAGAAATGATTAAGACCCAGCTGTGTCTGTGAAATTATAAGTTGCAATGCAGCACTCGGGACTTGTTAATGCTTTTTTTGGCATGAAGAAGAAAGACATAGGTATTTAATATTAAGCGGTGTTCTAAAAAGCACAAGTTAGTCGTTTGTTTGCTAAATTAACTTTCAAAGACATGTAGGTTACCACATTTGACTTTTCTACACACAAATCTTCAATGATTGATGGACCACCATAAAACAGCTTTGTTTTAAAAAAAGAAGATAATCTTTGGCAGGCTGCTTCAAAGGCTTTATTATTACTCTGGAAAGATGAAAAGATAGCTCCATTTTCCATTAATTTTCTTGATAGATCAACACTTACTCAAAATGTGCCTGAAAATTATGCTCTGTTTACTGTATTATTAGTCTTCTTCCACTATATCGGGCAGCCCCACATGGGATTGTTTTTATTTCCAAGATATAGGATAGTTTTTTCTGTGTATATAAAAAGTATCTTTAGAAAATTCAGATGGATACAATATTACATTCTGGCATTTTTATTCACTACTCTTTCATTGCAAGGTAGTAACTGAGACTAAAGTGTATATGGGTATAGTTTTTTAGAATCAACAGTACCATTGCAGGATGTGGTTTCAGATTTTCTCGAGGATATTCTTCACAGGGTCTGAAAGGATTCATTTACTTCCTTTTTAAATGTAGAAAGTATAATGGATTTTTTTATGGCCAAGGTCGCTGTGGGACTATGCTATCCAGGGGACAGAATCTCTAGACAGGGAGGGAAGTAGTTCATGAAAATGAAAGAACAAAAACAGTTTTCTGGGTGAACTTGCAGTGTGTCTGTGTGTCTGAGAGAGAGAGAGAGTGTTTGTGTGTCAGCCTGAGGAGGACCCATTCTGAGGGGGTAGGGTTATGGTAATTTTTGTAGGATTCTTAGTACAACAGGTATTCTGTTAACGGAAGGAAGTTGGAAATCTTTAATTATTATCAGAAATCTCCTGATTTCCCAAAATTGGTCACTACACATCTTTGAAAGATCATGCTTGGGCTTGCCAAACAGAACAGACTTGAGGGATGGCTGCTCTAAGGGAAAGAAAGGAGAACTTGTTCAGTTGTCTACCATTTTTGGAATGTAGAGCATCTTAATTGTGGATTAGCACCCACAATGGCCTGGAAGGTGGCTCAGGATGAAGACTCGGAGTCTCAGGTTGGGGAGAAACTTTGCTAAAGGGCTCAGGTTCCTAGAGAAGGCAATGCAGTGGACAGTACAGGTTCCCTGCGTCAAAAACTGCAATCAGCGTGTTCACAATTGAAAAAACGGGAAGCAGCAGCCTCTTCGCTGCGAAATTTATCTTCAAGATCATTTCATTTTATGGAGTTGAATAAAGCTGACTTGCATAAAAAATAAAATAATCCCTTTTCTGATCTTTGGCAGGGTGAAGTAGAGAAGTAAAGTCTCCCCGCTGAACTACTATGAGGTCAGAAGCCTTGCTGCTATATTTCACACTGCTACACTTTGCTGGGGCTGGTTTCCCAGAAGATTCTGAGCCAATCAGTATTTCGCATGGCAACTGTGAGTACCCACAATGTCACTCTGGTTCTTTCTCTTTGTGAATCTTGTAGCTGGCATCAGTGAGTAAATAGTGAAAAATAAAATAAGAATGAAATATAACCTATTTCTATTTTTAAAAAATCACCTATGTAAGACCAAACAATTGTTTTAACACAAAGATGAGAATGTAAAGGGGCATGGAACTAGAGCAATAGGAACAGAATCATTGTTGTTAGTACTGTCGAGCCTCATGCGACTCATAGTGACCCTGTGTACAATAGCTCTGAACCCTGCTCTATCCTGAGCCAATGTCACTGTCTCTGACACACCCACCCTCATTACCCATTACTGTGTCAATCCATCCCATCTGGGGTATTTTTCTCATCCACCCTTCCAAGCGTGATTACCTTCTCCAGTGACTGGGTTACATGCCCAAAGTAGGTGAGATGGAGTCTCAAAATCCTTGCCTCCAAGAATAAAAATAGAATATTTTGTGTATTGTGAAGAATATACACAATGTGATTGAACAGCTTATGTAGAAATCATTGAATGCATACCCTAACTACTGTTTAAACCTTCACCCTAGTCACAAAAGACTAATAGTAATTTTTAAAAAAATATTTTTTATACTGGTTTAGTTACAACATTTGTATGCACTGTTTTTCACGCTGGATTTTTCCTGTTTCCTTTACCCACCCCTCCCTCTACCCATAACCCTATTACCCCCCTTTTGTAAAAAGTATATACTTGCGATTTCTTGATTATTTTCACCTGAATGGGTGACAAAACTGGATAATAAAGTTTCATCAAATGACTGGTATGATTTGGTTGTAGAAATAGGTCTGGATAGAATTTGGTAGTTGGGTTTTTTTTAATTATTAAATTTTATTAATTTTTATGAACATTTACAGAGATTTTGGGTTTTCATTCATTCATTGTGGTAGTTTTTTCTTAATATTTTCCAAACAAATCTCAGCTACCACATGGAGACTATGATCCTGGCCCATGTGTCAGAAGTTACCAGCATTTGTATATTGCCAGTGATACACATTTGTACATGTAACTGTATATGGACATTGATTGTTAGAAGACATGAACAGATAATAATGAGTGTTTTTGAGTCAGATTCTTAAAAAGTATTTTTAGTCTTAGAAGTTATAATTTGTGAGACATGAGTAGAAAGTGATTTTGAATTCAACGAAGACTTATTGTAACTAGTTACAGATGTTTTGAAGTACTTCTACCCTGCTGTCTGAGGTAGATAACCAATATGATTAATTATTCATCTGTCTCTCCAGAAGAGGAAAGTCCTACTTGTGTTTTGGACAAAAGAGCCAATTTAACTACTTTTTTCTCCTACCTCAAAAAGACTGTTTTAGCATATTAAAGATATAAGAGAGCTTTTGCTCCAAATACATATCTATTTTTTAATAAGTGTTTCAAACAAAAACCTGACAAAAGATACTTAACATTAATATGGGGCACTAACAATCCCTTCAGTGCCCAACTCTGCTGCCAGACATTATAGATTTAAAAGGGAGAAGTTTTTCATTAAAATAAGGAGACACAACTGAAAAAGCAATTGTTGTTAAGTGCCGTCGAGTCGTAGACGACTCATAGTGAACGACCCTGTGAATGAAAGACCTGAACATACGTATATCTTTCATCATTTCTCCAAGTTCATAGTTTCCAGAGGCAAGCAAAAAGACCATGGGCATAATAAAGGATCAAATTAAGTGTTTGAGTTCATGACTCTCAAAGTAGCAGTGTCCGCTTAACTTTAGGCACAACACCTTAAAAAATCTAATTACATCCATTCAGAAAAATTTTCTGTCTTTGATGCTACAGTACCTACCATATGTAGACTTCTCAGCCTCAGTTTGCTGTAGAAAACTGTAATTAAAAATCACTGAAAGCTATGGTAGTAGTGAGACATATGCATTATTTTGTCAAGCTCGTGGCATATAGGTAAAGGACGTTTCAGGGGAGTGGAAAGAAAAGCACAACCTAATCCCATACCAAGCTTGATTGCAAATAGAATATGCTGGGAGGGAGCTCTGGTAGCCTAGTGACAATAAGCTGCGCTGTGCAAGCCTGAAGGCATGCAGTTTGAATCCACCAGATGCTCCGCTGGAGAAGGAGGGGAAATCTCCTCTGCTGGTCAGGTCCCATTCAATGGTACACAACAAGAAAAACAAAAGAAAAAATAATATGCTGGGGACTCTCTAATAAGACACCCACTCTGAGTAATGCTCCAGTTCTAGAGGGGTTGAAAGTGTAAGGGTCTGAGTATTAATCTGAGAATAGTTTTCTATTCATTATTTACATCCCTGGAAAACAACTGCTTTTTAAATGTGACTCATCTTTCTTTTCTCCTTAGCTTCTTTGGAAGATTGCCAGAATTCTGGAGATTGTAGGTTTAAAAGCAGAGAGATATTGAGATGTAGGTACTTTGAAAGGTCAGATATTATTACAAATTGTCTCTTCCCCACCAAAGAGAACTGTAGGAAAAGAAGAATATGTTCATTGACTGTCCAAGGCAGGAAAATTTCCAGATCCACCCGACTGGCTACACTCAGTTTGACCCTGTCCTGTCAAAGCCCCAGTTTCTGTGAGATTAGCCAATTGCTCAACTCGAGTGAACTTCCCACAGTTCCTCGAATGCCAACCAACCTAATGGTGCTGCCTTCAATAGTGGATTATTCCAACTGGACGCCTGTGGAGACTATTTTTCTCCTGGCTCCTGGGTGAAGGCTCTCGCCTCCAGACCACATTGCCTTTGTGGTGATTGATGGGAAGGCTGCTTTGAAATAGTTTTGTCCCGAGACAAGATCTTTGGCAGACTGCCCCTCAGGCTTAGCACTCTGCCGAAGATGAAAAGAAAACTGGAGAAGAAAAGAGCACCTTCATGTGAAGAGTTCTCGCTAGCACGTTTAACCCTCAGGAAGGGAGACAACTCAGAATCGAGGGCACTGAAAACTTCCAGTTCAGGCAAATTACTTATTTTCATCTGGAAATTTTAACTTGATGAGTCTTAAAGAGTACTTGCTAGCCTCTCATAATCTTTCTGAGAGAAGTGGTCTGGCTGAAACATGACATGTTCTTGTTACCCATTTTCCCACCCCCATTCTATCATTTCTTGGCTTGATTTCTTTTTCCTTCTCTTGCCCCATCTCCTCTTTTCGCAGATACAAAACAGTATCCGGTGTTTGTGGGCCACAAGCCAGGACGGAACACCACACAGAGGCATAGACTGGACATCCAGATGATTCTGATCATGAATAGAACCCTCTACATTGCTGCTAGGTATGTGGCCTTCATCTCTGCTTTTGAGGACGTCTAATGAACCAGAATTTCAGCTACACATCATTTTAGCAGTTTTGAGATTTTTCAGGTTCTCGCACACAGCCTTAATTAATAGGAAGACTATAGTTTATAAAGCCACCATCCTTTCAAAATCCTCGGTGTCTGTTTAGCTTTATAAGGATTTACAAAGAAATAATTGCATATTTTGGAGCTCAAACCCAAATAACCCACTGTTTATCCTGACCATATATGCAAATATTTACTCAGTACCCTGCAGAGTACTTTGCGCTTTGACACTTGTTTGTTAAAGTGAATTGACTGTATAAACATGTATTATAGTGTGTGAGTGTGTAGGTGTGTGGATGTTAAATCTGTATACATTTATGGAGTGAACCGTAGTATATATTGTTAGCAGAAGGGCAATGGCATCCAGTGAGAGCATAAATATAATAAACATGAGGAAAGTTTGTGATTTAGCTCTACTGAAAGACCGCACCTCCCCAGAGGAAATGCCATTTAGAGATGAGCAACCTGTTGCAAATACTGCCTGAACAGGAACCACACAGATCCAGGCTTTTGTTCTCATCTGACCCTTAAATTAGATGGATAACACTTTATCTAGCTGTGAGTGTCCCCAGTTAAATGAGAGGTTGGAGTCTATTATTTTAGTGCAGACCCCAGGGATTCCAAAATCTATGATACTACAACCTTTAGATAAATAGTTGTTTAGAATAGTCACAAATAAACAAGGACTAAGACGCTACCTAAATTAAGGAGCTCCACTGTGGTCTTCACTACGTCTGGAATGATGAATCTTTTTTTTTTCTTTTTGTTCTTGGGAAGAAGTGAGATGTACCTGACTATCAGTGCAGGTACCAAGAGTGAAAGGCAACAGCATTTGATTCCTTTCGAGAGTACACATGATCTGAGATTCAAAAGCTCTGAAACATGAAATTGTAAAAGTCTTTGCCAAACCCTGAGAGTCCTATACATTTGGTCACTGAAATCAGTGCCAAAACAATTTATTTCTATTTCACAAGTTCTTGTATCGAATGTACCAGTTGTATGTGTTGGAGGTACAGTTATAAATTCTTTATAGATATTAATTCATTTATTATTTTGAACAACCCTATGAGAAGCTGCTCTTATCTTGTGCCTTAGTGAAGGAAACTGAGATCCAAAGAGGTTGAATGGCCAACCAGTGTGAACCATATTGGCCTTGCCCTAAAGTGTGTGCTTGCTGTATGTATTTTCTTACCCAATGAGCTGTAGAGATGGTTCTCTTTGCTGGTAATACAGTCTAATAGCTGCTATTTAGAGAAAAGAAGTATTATATTGTTATTCTGTGCCATTGAGTGAACTATGAGACATAACAACCCTTTGCACAATAGCCTTGAACCCTTCTCTATCCTGAGCCAATCTCACTGACTGCAACACACCTACCCACATTACTCCAGTTACTGTGTCAATCCGTCTCATCCAGGGTCTTCCTCTCCTGCGCTTTCCCTCCACCCTTCTAAGCATGATGTCCTTCTCCAAGCACTGGCCCCTCCTGGCAACATGCTCAAAGTATGTGAGATGGAGACTCAAAATCCTTACCTCCAAGGATCAACTTGGTTTCACTTTCTCCAGGACAGACTTTGTTTGACATTCTGTGGTATGGTCGGTACTGTTCTCAGCACAGTGCAAATGCATCAATTCTTTTTCTGTCATCCTTAGTCATTGTCCAGCTCTCTGATGTAAGGAAGTAATTGCAAAGACCATGGCCTGAATCAGGCGCACCTTAATCTCTAGACTCTCATCATTGTTTGTCAGCACTCTGGAGAGGTCCCTGACAGCAGATTTTCCTAATGCAATGTGGCTCTTGATTTCCTGGCTGCTGGTGCCAAGAGCGTTGATTGTGGAGCCGAGCAAGCTGAAATTGTTAACAACCTCAATGGTGCTGCCAGTTGGCTCATTCGGGAGGATCTTTGTTTTCTTAATGTTGAGCTTTAATCTTAATTTAATCTTATACTGAAGAAACCATTGTGAGTGTACATTAAAAAGCATTCCAATAAGGTCCTCTGTTATCCCTTCTCTTGGAAATAATTAACTCCTTTTTAAATGATATTTTTCTTTTTCTAGATAAAGTAGGCCTTGATTACATCTGTACCCAGTTACCTAAAGATGCTTCAAAATAAATGCTCAAACGTTAGACTTGTGAGACGTAGGTTGACCCACAAATCGCCTATGAATTGTTGACTCTGTTGTTGTGTCACTGAAGAGGAGGGGTGGAAGGTGCTTCAAAATAAATGCTCAGACGTTAGACTTGTGAGACGTAGGTTGACCCACAAATCGCCTATGAATTGTTGACTCTGTTGTTGTGTCACAGAAGAGGAGAGGTGGTGGTGTCACAGACCACTTCTGTGCCCTATCATGTGGCAGGAGTGTAGACTAGAGGCAGAATGTGGACTGCAGTGCAGTACCTGCCAGTGAGCAAAGAGCAAGAGGCTATGGAAGAAGCTTAAAGTCACCATTATCCCAGCTCATTAAAGCCAAATGTGTTTTAGCCTCCTTCCTATCCCAAGAAAAAGAAGAAATCCAAGGAAAATGAGAAAGAAGTGTTCATTTTAAACAAAACAAAACCAAAAAAAACCCATCACAACACAAAACAACCCTATAGAACAGAATTGTGTTTGCATAGAGTTCACATCTCTAACACCCTCTCTTTGGCCTGTTGATTTTCACACTGTACTCCGCCAAATTGCCAGTCACTCTGTTCTGACTCACAGTGATCCAGTAGGACAGAATTTCCTGGAGGGTTTCCGGACCTGTTAATCTTTACTAAAGGAGACTCTTTCTCCCCTAGAATCACAGGAGGGTTCTAACACACAATCTTTTGGCTTGTAGTTGGGCATTTAACCACTGTCCCACCGTGTCTCCTATCACCCTCAGCCCCTTCTTCAACTCAGTATTTGCTCTTGGAAAATCCTTCAAACAGCTCTAAGGCCACGATGGTTAGAGCCTATCCTCTCCTTTTAATTTCACATTTCCCAGCCTACCCCTGAAAGATCAAGTTCCTAGGCAGCAAGTAACACGATTTAAAGTTAAATCCTTCCCCCAGTCGCAAACCATGGCAACCCGCAATTCAGTGTTGCTTCATGGAGGTGGGGAAAGAGGAAGTCATGGGATTAAGCAAGTTTGTGTTCAAATAACTTAATTCAGCGAACGTGTGTGCATCCTGGGATCAACACAGGATGCCTGGGAATAACCCTGGCCCTAGTCTTAGGTTTACTCCATAAAGCCCTGTTTCTGTTTGCTGGGGCAATGTGATCTTTTGGATATTGAAAACGATTGTCATTGTCCAAGAAGAGATTGCATTCATGCAATTCTATTTTCAAAAGGCTTCCCAGTTCTTCTAGACAATTGGTGTCAGACATCGGAAGCCAAGTCTCATCCAGAACCAGGGGATTGAGTGAAGCTTGGTGGCAGGAACCCCTTTCAGTTCTGCTTTATTATTATCTACTTTATAAATTATGCCTCTTTTTAAAAAATCGCTAAACTGCTAATTAACATAAGAGCCCATGCCAGAAGGGGCAATCCCAGGGCTTTCTGAGGAGTTGCCAATGCATATTAATCAGTTGTTAATTTACAATTCATATATTCAACTCCTACTTAAGATTTGAGGGGAGACAGGGCAAAGAAAAGCCTAGAGTCATCTCACACCTAAGAGTAAGAGGCAATTCCGTTCCAATCATGAGTCTGACTGCAGTGTTACCAATAAAGTCAAGCAAGTAATAAACAGAAGCAATAAAGCGGTCTTAAAAATCAAAGGGCAGGGTGATTCTGGCATCCTACTCAAGTTTGAAGAAATTTCCTAGATCAGCAACTTGCAGAATTGACTCCCCATTCTCTCCCTCACCTATCTCTCTCTCTCTCTCTCTCTCTCACACACACACACACACACACACACACACACACACACACGCGCGCGCGCGCACGCGCGCACTCACATGCACACTCTCACACACACAATTCCATGGCAGCCGAGGGAGTTCTGTAGGCCAGCTGCCCAGCCCCTCTCTTTCATTTTCACGTGAGAAAGCCTCTTTCCATTTTAATTTCTTTTTCTCCCTCCCCTCAGTTGTGCTTTCCCGAAAGCTGTAGCACACAAAACAGATTTCCCAAGAATTGGAGGCAAAAAGGATAGAGTGGCTAATTTTCTCTTTTCTCCCTCCATTTCTAGTAATGAAGGTGCTTGAAAGTCTGCATCAGAGTCTTGAGGCCCGAGTTTCGAGCTGTGGATAATTTTCCAGCCCCAGGACTTCCTGCATTTTAGAAAAAGTCAATATTATTTCAAGGGAAAATGAACTGTTTTGCTTCCCCTCACTAGCCCCCCATCTCTCCAATTGAGTGTAGGTCTTTTATTTCTTCTGAATTCCAGACAAAAACGCCTTTGTACTCGGCTCACACAGAAGGGGAGGTTTAAATATAGCCCCACACCTGAGCTGCTGATTCTGTTTCTCCCCTTCCAAGGGGAGATTGGCAGCAAATTGTAAAAAGAACCAAATTCTCAGCAAAACAGGAAAGTGAACAGAAGCAAGAAATGTAAACTTTACCTCAAGTACATTTTAGATCTTAATTGACCATCATTGTGTGAAGAAAAGAGTGGCTTCTGGAAATAATTTTCCCTCTATTATCTCTTCTCCCCTTCCATCTTGTCCATCAAATCATCAAAGCTAAGACTGGAAATATATTTTCTCAAGTGATGAAGACAGAGATTAGCTTTTTGTTAACCTCCTTGCTGAACAAATGTGGCACTGTGAATACCAAGTGTTTGGTGCCTGGATTTTAAGACACTTAAAGGGCATGTGAACCCATCTGTTTTTTTTTTTAGTCTTTAGGCCAATTTAAGGTTCAGAGTCCTTTATCCTGCAGTACACAATGCAGGGGCTGTATAGAGAATACTCATTATAGAAATGTTATCCATAAAATGTGTTCTTTAGAGCAAGTTGTTATACTTCATCAAAAGGATGCTCAATAGTATCTAGAATGTCATTTGTTAGTTGAGCTCTTTTTCATACATATGAAAGTTTGATGTTGTTTAGTTTTTAAAATTACCTGAGTATGGATTTATCTGTCTTGAATGAGATACAATTCATTCAGTAGAAAATGAAGTGCCTCGTCTGTTGTGTTTCTCTATGGTGTTTTTGACTTTCTATTTTTCATTGCTTACAGGGACCATATTTATACTCTTGATATAGACACTTCACATGCAGAAGAAATTTACTGTAGCAAAGTAAGTAGTTTGAAGAGCATCTTTTGGAAATAAAGATCTGTATGAAGATTGTTGAATGAATTTTGTATCTTAAAGACATTGACTGAGATGAGTTGGTTAAAAATAACATGGAAAGATCAGCACACATTCTGTGGATCCTGATTGAGTTGTAGAGTCCTTGGGTAATGAAAATCGTTAATACACCCAACTGTTATCTAAAAGGTTGGCGGTTAAGGCCATTCGGTTCAACCAGCGGTGATCTATTTATTACTGACAGAACAGCCAATGGCAATCAGGTGGAGCATGATTTTACTCTGACACACCTGGGGTGGCCGTCCGTTGGAGTCCCTTTGACAGTATGGGGGCTTTAAGTTGGAGTAGGTATAGGTATAGCTTTCAGAAATAGTCATATACTCCATGTGTTATTCATTAAGTATGTGTGCATATAAATTTTGGAGTCTTAGGTGATTTCCAAGTTCCTTTAATAACATATTACCATATATATGCCAGAAAAACACCAATTTCCCTATGTAAAATTTCTCCCTGCAAGTGTACCTTACAAATGTCATGCGTCCATGTCGTAACAGTGTTAAGTTTGAGTTGACTGTTATGGTTCACGGAATATTATCCATTTCAGGCAGACATGAAGTATAACGTCACTTGCCTTGTCACTCCATGTGGGGGTATTTTTGTTCATTAAATCAGCACAAAGAAGTAGGCGATTCCTTCAATCCATTAGCTTACTTGAAGGGAGAATAACTGGAGTGAAATCTCTGTTCACCTAAAGTGAATGTTCCCTTTCTGGATAAGAAAATGACTTTGATATTTTAAGAAAAAAAGCTGCTTGACAAAAATGGTCACTTATCAACTGAAAAGAAAGGGCAGGACATGTCTTTTATCAAAATGAGTATAATGTGGCAAGTTAATTGGGATATTTTTTGTGAAAATTCCACGCTGTTGTTTATTCTCCTTTCTATTTGTCTTTATCTAATCTCAAAGAGAAGACAATCATTTTGTAGTTTAATGAATAGATAGGAGTTCAAAATTAAATGAACATTTCCATCTCTAATCTTTTGTTGTTATGGTCAATTAATCATGGAGAAAGGGTGCAGAAAGCTTTCCATAAATATATGTTCAGCCTCTAGTCTCCCCAAGGGAACTCTTACTTCTAAAATCAAATGCAGCAACCTCTGGGTTCTAATTGATTTCTTTCTTGATCCCGGCAGAAACTGACATGGAAATCTAGACAGGCTGATGTAGACACATGCAGAATGAAGGGAAAACATAAGGTAGGCAATTTTCATTTCTCCTGCAGCTGCCACTTTGGGTTAAGGTTTTGACTGTCAACTCCAGCCGTTGACTGTGATGTGGAATGGATCATGCCATTTACTTTTTCCCCCAGTAATTGCTTTTTCCATCAACTTATTGAAGGCTTTAATTTGCAAAAAGAGTTTGCTTTTAATGTGATGAAACATTACGACAGCTGCTCAGGCGGCATCATGAAGTACTTAGGCACACCAGGGATTATGGGCTTGAAGTTGACTGTCCTGACTCTTGTCTTGAGTGTCCCCTCCCCATAGCCCCACCTCACAGCCCAAGGTCCAGAGGGAGTCAGAGGAAGAGCTCATAAAAGACTGCTGCCGACATGCAAGGTTTTGTGCCTTTGGTCATAAACCAGCATAAAACCCCACTTCTGCCAGGAACCTGGTGTATCAAGGGACCCTGGAGCATCTGGCATTAAAGTTATTATGATGGGAGATTGGCGCTTCCAGGCTTGCCTTTTCCTTATGGTATAAACACACTCTTCCGTTCTGCACCCAGTTTTCATTTGCAGTAGATGAGCAATTGTTCCTCTTAATAGCAGGGGGACATAAAAATGCTATAGCAGAGATTCTCAGTTGCTTTCTTTTTAACCCTCCTGTGAACAGACTGGGAACCCTGGTGGTGCAGAGGTTAATGTTTCAGTTGCTAACAGAAAGCTTAGCAGTTTGAGACCACCGGCTACTCCACAGGTGAAAGGCATGGCTGTCTGCATCTGTAAAGGCTCCAGCCTGGGGACCCCGGTGGGGTACTTTTGCTCTGTCCTCTCGGGTCACAATGAGTCACAACCTCCTTAGCTGAAGTGAGCATGGGTTTGAGTGAGCAGATCATGGTATATATAACATGAAGAATGAGTTTCTATTTTGAAGGGACCAATTAAAAAAAGTTTAATATTTTTTTTTTGTCTTCTACTCTTTTTATTTTTTCCCCCATTAAAAAAAATTGGTTTTCATTAATTCATTCACATTTTTGTTTTATAACATTCATTCTAATTGATCATACCCTTATTGCAGGATGAGTGTCACAACTTTATTAAAGTTCTTCTAAAGAAAAGTGATGACACGTTGTTTGTCTGTGGAACTAATGCCTTCAACCCTTCCTGCAGAAACTATAAGGTATGTGCTCTCTTCTCTGGCTGGACCCACAGGGCAGGAGGTATTTCATAATTTACTGTGATTGTACCTGCAGCAACCTAAGAGGGGTTATTCAACACCACTTGGTTCCTCTCACTTGTTCAACTTAATGTATTGCTCCGCATGAATGACCCTGAGAAGGCTTCTCGGCTTCCTGTATGTTCAGAGTTGATTGACATCTCTTTAAAGAACCTACATGGCAAAGTCAGTTTCTGTCAGACCCTATTCTTCATTGTTTGGAAGAGTGGTGTACTTACCACGTATGCTGTGGGGATTTCCTTTCTTTCTCTTTCTCCTCCTTTACACCCTTTCTGAGCACAGAACCACAAATACTGTGAATGTATCCTGCATCCTGGCTTAAAAAGCATCTCCAAAGCTTGCCATTTGAAACTGTAAAGCTTCCTTCTACGTAAGAGTTTAAAGCTTACGGGAATTTAATTCCATTTTAGCACTCAGAGAAAGTAGCCAACTTTATCATGGCCTTTATGCAGAGAAATTGAAAAAAAAAAAAACATAAAAAAACCCTCCAGAATTCATAAGCGATTAGTCCTGACACAGCTGGCAGAGACGTTGCTGAAGAAGGAAGGAACTGTGTGAGCACTGGAGCGGAGATCTCGAGTCTGGGATCTCCACCTGTGTGTATGCTCCTGTCACTTCTTTCAGCAAGTCTCACTCAACAGGTGCCTGTGGGTTTGCTATAGACAAGTTCTCGGTCTGTTAAAATCAATAGAAGACCTTACTCTTTGGGAAGAAGAATAAGAAGCAAGAATGCGTGGGGTTGCTGTCATAGTGAATTGGAGTATTATAGGAGCTGAGCAAAAGAGTCCTTCACCAAGACTGAGGAAGACTTTGGCAGGAGAATGGGGGCCTCTCCTTCATTGCTACCTTCTGTCCTCACCGAGGGGACACCCCATCGAGTTCATAAGAAGCCAGTCACCTAGCACCTTTTAAGTGTAGAGCACATGTCTGTGCTTGCTCAAAACCTGCTATAATCCCAAGCAGATAGTCTCCATAAATGTTTATGGTATAAATGAGTGACTGTGGTTATGACTAGAATTTCTCAAAAAAAGGGTGAAGTGGACGTCTCAGTCAATGGCAAGAGGAGGTGGCTTCAGATAGAGGGATGGCGTGAACATTGGGGGATGAAAAATGAGGGGTGAGCATGGGAGTGAACAACAGCTGTGGAGGTGGAGACGCTCCCATTTGGTTCTGAAGGACCAGATTATGAAGTGTTAAGCGGCAATGAAGAAAAAGCCAAGGATGAGGGGAAGAAAACATATTTAAGGATAGCATTGAAGTGACAAGACTCAATAGGATTTAGGAATTGGTACCCAGGAGAAGGAGAGAGAGAGAGGAACCAAGAATGACTGCCAGGCTGTCTCTTGGGTGAGTAGATTGATGGGACTGCCACGGACCCAGATAGAGCAGAGAGGAAGAGCGGGTCGGGGGTGGGGGGGAGTGCGTGCTGGTAAGCAGATAGGGAGCTCAGTTTTGAGCATGATGACAATGTCTAGCACTGGATGCCAGTGCCTGTGACACATGAGTAGAGCTCTTTAGCAGCAAGATGAATGAGTATGCCTTGATATATTTAGGAAGATACTTGAGTGGGGAAAGATTTGGGTTCATTAGCACAGAGAGTGGTGAAACTCAGCAAGTGTGGAGCATGAGAAAAGGAGTAATGGGCTGGAACCAGAAGCCGAGGTGTCACCAGCTTTAGGATTGACAGTTTTAAAGGCCCTATGCTCACTCTTTGCCCAGTCATTGAAGGGAGGGTCTCTTTTACCTATATCATCACCCTCCATTAATCTTGCCTTTTAAAATGGGCACCAACAGATCCAGGCATTTGCCTCACGCATAAAATGAAGGGGTTGCCATAAATCTGGTAATCAAGATAAGTTGTATTGTGAATGCATTATTGTTTTTTAATTGAGACCCCCAAAAACCTCCATCAGAAACATGATGGACTGTGAAATAAAGACAGGAACCATCAGCGTGTAGGAGAAGCATTTATTCTAGCATTTACTCTAGCCAGTGACGACAGACAGCTGAAGTCTCAACTTGAAATACTCCACTTAATATTCCATCCCTGTTCATCATTGTTTAGAACTCATTAAGATTAATACTTGTAACAAATCCCAAGGAATTCCCAGCTGGAAAGCTATCTTTTATGACAAATGACAGGTTTTGTTGGCACTGCCATGTGTAGGCTGTACATGGTCCAGCTCATTCTTCCCGCACATGTTCGTTCCCCAGGATGCCTCACCTAGGGTGACACCTTCACCTCTTGCTTGTTCTAGCCATACCTGCTGAGACATGTTCTGTTCCATGAGCCGGTACCTCTTAGAAGCCACAGACAGGATGTTCTTCAAGCTCAGTCCTCATCTAGAAGTGTGTCTCTGTGGATGGCAGTGCAAACATTTGGCAAGGCTCAGAAAAATTCTTAGAGACCCAGAGGACAGACTTTGATGACAAAAGACATGATTTCGGCTTTACGAAGAAAGCTTGCGACAGTGGACTCAAGCATGGCAGTGACTGGAGATGGCACAGAATTGAACAGAGTTTCTGTTTTATTTAAGGTTGCTAGGGTCACGTGCGTCAGAGATGGTGCATTTGGCTCAGGATAGGGCAGGGTTTTTAGAATCATTGTTCATAGGGTCACTATAAGTCTTAGTCGACTCAACAGCACCTAATAACAGTCATTGAAGATTGAACCTTTTACGTGTTTTTATTTATGTAGCTTTTTCCTTTAGGAGAACTCTATAGTTTTAGGCCCTTGAAAAGATCAGTATCAAAGGATTATAGCAAAAACCATGGCCCATTTTCTATTCTAAAACCTACGATTCCTAGCATAAGAGCACCAGGTAAATTAGAGTAACTGAGAGCAATAGGGTAACAAGTTTTCAGTCACAGCCTTTACTGTGCCTTGATGTACACAGTTTGCATAATGGATATGGGCATATGAGTTAGAAAGATGATGTTCCTTAATAAGATTATCTAGGGAGAAATTTTGAATCTAAACCCACACCCCATGCCTTTTCTATCCTGTTTTCTAAACCTTCTGAACTCCTGTGAAGGTGAGTTTGTTACTTTGTATAATTATCTGTACCCTGTGGTGATTTAATTTCCCAGGGGCTCCAGTCTACTACAAGGATTAGTTCTCACTTCAAGGAAAGAGGATTTCACTATGGCATTGTTTTGTCTCAGGATCTTTCCCAACTCAAAAGACAGCACACTCATTCTTTGCCACTTGCTCCCTCTGACTAGCTACAGCTCAAGCCACTTTTTCAGAAGTAGGTACATGAGAAAAACAAAATTCCCCTGGTGTGTTTCCCCACTGCAGGATTACAGCATGCACTGCTTGGGATAAGGGCATTTCCCTTGCATCATTGTGTACTAAGCATCACTTTTGAATCCTTGCCAGACCCACAGACCGCAAAAGTCTGTCACCGCTCAAGCTCTTGTTGGGATACGATATGAAAAAAAAAAAAAAGACTAACAATAAAAATATTCCGCAGGGGAAAAATATTTTAGTTTAACGACTGTCTTGCTTGAACGTCTTCTAAAAACACATTTTTAGCACAACCATTTTATGTGATCATACAGTTAAAAAAAATACAAGGTTGTTTCATTAAGGGCCTTCTCAAAGAGATTATGGATGAAAAGGGTCTGTCACTTTCCGTGAACTGTTTTTGGGGATTTAGCGCCAAAGATAATGTTATGTTTTATCACCAACTGCTGTTCAAGAGAACCTCTCTCTTTCCTCCTGGGCATCAACTCCCAGCATCTTGATTGAGTGCTGAAGGCCTTGAAGGGTCTCTTTTCTCAGCATCAGTGTACCTTAGCTTAAGGCTCTTTCAGTTTTTCATCTCCATCTAAAACTGCCCAACTCCCAAAGGTGTAAACAAAATGCCCTCAAACCAGAAAGAGAATTGAATACACAAAGAGGTGTTAAAAAAATGTGATGATTATGGAGATCATTTTATGGACTCCATGGAACTGAGATTTTACATGGGAGGAAGCTACTGTGGCTTGAAGGAGAGAGATTGGAGTATAAAGCTCGAAGCACTGTATGACTGTTAACGATAGGCCAACCTCTGACTAAACAATAGAGGTCTGTTTCTCACATCACAGGGAAGTGTGTAATGAGAGGGATTCTTTCTTCTAAGAGGTTATTCAGAAGGCCAAGTGCTTTCCTTGTCATAGCTGTGCCATCCCCTAGGATTTGCAGTTTTCACTGGAACCTGTATATCTGGTGAGCAGATATGGTACAAAGTGGAGGATCCCGGGAAATTTTCCTGGAGTAGCAGTAGGAAGTAGCATGTATCACTTGCATTATATTCATGTTACCTTAGTCAGAGATCAGTCATAGGGCTGCGTCAGAGTACAAGGGAAATTGGGAAATGTAGTTTGGTGTGATCACAAGGAAACATCAGTGTTTGAAGACCATTGTTGCAGGTGGTTTGGTAAGAAGAGGCCGGAACTGATTTATTTCCCCCCAAAAAAAAACACCCCAAAATCTGAATTTATATGTGAAATTTCTTTGTTCTGAAATGTGAGCTTAGTTTTATTTGTATTTTAATACTGCATTTGTTGAGTAAAACTCATCTGTGTGCCAAGTATAACCTTTAGCATGGAGGAACAAGGCATTCATTGTTAGGCATTGAGAAATGTGAATCAAACTCCAGCACCACTCTTCTTGGCTTGAACCCGTGAGAGCCCCTCAGCCTCTTGGCCTTCATTTTCCTTTGTTACCATCGTAGGCTGAGAGATGTTCCTCATTTCCAGAGCTGACATTCCACGATCCTGAAGGCAGTGCAGAAGGCCAGTGAGCTCTGCTTGCCTTCATGGTTCTGCCCCTTTTCTGATGCCATACCATCTGCCTGCTAAGCCGAGGAAAAATTCCATTGTCTCTCTATTGGGATTTAATCCACAAAGGCAGGGCTACTTAGGCAAAACAAAACCAAAAACCAAGGTCATTCTCTATAGAATTCATGACTCAACAACTTCCTCCAGTGATGGCCTCAGAAATTCCTTTTTCAAAAGAAAAGACAGTTACTTCTAGACCATTCCTGAAAGAATCATCAAATGTTTGTAGTAGGGAAGCATCCTAACAATAGTGAAGAGACCAGCTTTCCTAGCTGTGGAATCTTGGTTAAGTCACTCAGTCTCTGCAAGCTTTAAGCTCCTGAAACCAACAGATGTCTCGTTGAGTGCATTTATAGGGGGTTTGCAAGAATACATATGAATTGCTTAGCATATTAAGTGTTTAATAAATAAATATTAGTTGCTATTATTTCTGTAAATTGTAGTCAATCCTAGTAAACCCTATTATTTCATTTAGATGGATACTTTGGAGCCTTTTGGGGATGAGTTTAGTGGGATGGCCAGATGCCCTTATGATGCCAAACACGCCAACGTTGCACTGTTTGCAGGTAAACGACCTGATTTCTTTTTATTGCATTTGCCTTTGCATGTTTCTACCTGTCACTGCAAATCAGCTCTGGGGGATTCATGAAGTCACAGTTGTACTTTAATTCTCTAGTGAATACTGTAATTAAAAATGTCTTCCTTTTGCAATTAGTACAGAAATTGTGCTTTTGCTTATCAAAAGAGGTCACTGCTATACTTATCCATGTTTTTGTGCTTTCAGAAAATGGTAACAGCATTGCACACTGGTTATCTCCTATATTTGGTAGTATATGTTGGGACACAAGTAATAGAAAATCTTATCTCGAACTGGATTAAGCTTCAAAGAGGATATATTGGTGTAGAGCCTTCTGTAGAGTTTGTTTGAGCTGATAGTCTGAGAATATCATCCAAGATGCAACTCCTTTTCGACCAGTTTGCTGCTTTACATCAGCTTCATTTTGAGACTGGCTATTCTATTGATCAGATGATTGTCAGATCCAGCGAGGCTTGTATGTCTCATGCCTACGTGTTGATGGAAGGGAAAGAGACAAAAGGAAGGAATTGCTTCTTGGTGTTCTCTCTGATCCATGAGACTTTTTATCTCTAATAAGCATCATCTGGAATCTTGTTGACCTGATTGCCTTTCCCTGACCTAGAGAGTTATAAGAATAGGGGATGACGTTCAGTAGCTTAGACTGAACCGTTACACTCCTCCCCATTACACCTTCTTTCCATTGAAAAAGATCAAAAGAATTAGGAGGGAGAAACCCATCATTTTCAGGTTTAGTAGAATATATGTGTGTTATAATTGAGAAGTTATTTAGGAATTCATTGCCAGCTGTGGAAGTGGAGCTGGTTGTAGGGAAAAGTGTTGGTATAATAGCCATTGTTATAGCTTGTAATAAAGCAGTTAGCTGTAATTCCCATTCACAACAGCTAAAAACAGGAGCATTCTAGCTGGTTGAGGAACTTTAAGGCTTTGATTAGAAAACAAGATTAGCTTCTGGTACTTAAACCTTATCCTTGGTGCCAACAGCTGTGGGTCTGATTCTGTGGCTACACATTGTAGAAACCACCGTTTATACCAAGGAGGAAGGAAAGGTGCATCGAGTTCTTGCCCTGAGTTGAGCACAGTGTTGCCGGGAAGCAGCACTGCGAGGAACACTCTTATAAACCTATTTATGAGCAAGAGGAATTGGACATACTCTCAGTTGCATAACTATTAAAAATCCAAGTGTAGCACCTGACAGTCTGACCTTTGAGTTGAAGGAAAGAAATTAAATAGAACATAAGCTAAAAAAACAAACAAATCTACACAAATAAACTGACATCTTGTAACCTAATATAAAAAGGGAAGTGCTTAGCATGTTGGACTTTGAAGCAAAAAAATCCACTCATCTCCTGCATTTCCACATTGTTTTCTGGGAGAGAAAGATGGACAATCTCCTTCAGTTAAATCATGGAAACTCACTGGAGGGTCACTGTGAATCGGAACTGACTGGGTGGCAGTGGGTTTTTGAGAATCGAAGGCACCCTGCAGGTGTGGCAGGGAAGCACTTGGCTAATTACAGTTGGGTCTGTAATTTAAGCTTATCAGCCATTCCACTGGAAAAAAAAATGTGACAGTATGCATGCATGAAGGTTATAACTTTGAAAACTCGGTAGAGACGCTCTACTCTCCTGGAGGGTTGTAATGAGTCAGAATTGACTCAAGGGCAGTGGCTTGGTGGTGTAAATGGAGTAAGATGCAACCAGGTAAACACTTGAAAACTAACCAGAGATTTATAGTTCAAACCCACCCAGAGGAACATGAGGAGAAAGGTGTGGCAGTCTGTTTTTAAAAACTGTAGCCATGAAAATCCAGTGGAGTGCACTCCTACTGTGCAACACACAGGACCACCTTAAGTTGAAATCAATGTAGATTCATAGGTAACAGGCTTAATTCACTCCACTCCTTAGTCTATATAGAGAGCAAAGAGTCCCTAATAGTCCATTTTATAGAATATTTTATGAGTTCTTTTTTTCTCAGTACGGCATAGTATTCCAATATGTGACTATACCACAGCTTCTTTCTTTAGTCGTCTGTTGATGAGCATTTGGGTTGCTTCCATCTCTATGCTGTTGTGAACAATGCAGCAATAAACATGGGTGTGCATATAGCTGCTTGGGTGGAAGTTCTGGTTTCTTTAGGGTATATTGCCAGTAGTGGAATTGCTAGGTCGAATGGTATTTCTATTTCCATCTTTTTGAGAAAGCACCATAGTTCCTTCCATAGTGGTTTCACCATTATGCAGTGTGAATTATTTCAGTCA